CCAGGGAGCCCGGCGCCAGGAAGCAAGCCACAGGAGAACCCGCGGGACACGCAGTCCGTCGACGCTGCAGTCCCAGACCAGAGTCCAGTGGCGGCCAAGACGCGGCGAGCACGGGGGGGAGGCGATGAAAGGCCCTTGGCAGCCAGAGCGGGGGCGCGAGGGTGCCTGGACCCCCCGCGGGAGGCCCCGGGCCAGAGGGACAGCAGCCCCCGCGTGCGACCGGGGCCGGTGGGCCCGGAGGCATCCCTCCCGCAGGCCGCGTTTAGCCGGGCCGTAACGGGCCTGCGGCCAGAGACCCACCGCCACTCACAGGACCCCCACGAGTGCGATGCCGATGCCAAGTGTGAGCCAGCAGAGCGCGTCTGCAAGAGCCCCGCCTCTGAAAGGACAACCAGGTATCTTGAGGGCACCTAGTAACTTGACAGCAGCTGCGCGTCGAGAACATCAGCCCATGAGGGGGGCGCAGCAAACCGCCGCGAGACATGCACTCCCTCAAGGTGATGGGGGGCGCAGCCAACAGCCGCAGAGATCGCGCTTCCATTCGCGCCGGGGGTGCAGCCAACAGCCGCGGAGTATACGCCCCCTTTCACACTGAGCGTGCCGGCGTCGGAGGCGCCACCTGGGGGGGCACCTGCGCCTCCGCCCGGGGGGGGGGCGAAGGATGCACCCCTTTCGCAGGCCGCGACTTGCAGGGCAGCAGCGGCACAGCTGCCAGCGGCCAACCTCCACGCGCCTGTCCCGCGCGTGCGCGGTGCCGCGAGGGGGGGCAGCAAGGCCGCTGCGGGGAGACGGCCCACCGCTGTATTTTGCGCTTCTTGGGGGCTCGGTTGTTCGGGTGGCCCTTCGCCGCGCGGCGATCACTGCTCGCTCCGCCGCTTCGACCCAGGCGCAGCTGCCGCAGCCGGCCAGTCGACGTCGAGGCCCAGCGCGTCACTGGCGACCCGTACGTCGTACTTGTGGCTGCGGAAGGATTCCAAGAAGGTGGCAGGTTCGCGGGTCGTGCCGAAGCGGGTCGAGCGCGCCCTCGCTGCCGGGCACAGACTGCCGCTTGGCGAAAGCGTGCCAGGTGCCAGTGAACAGGCCCCAGTGTGACTTGGAGCCGTCGCATCGCCTCGCCGGGTGTCTCTCCGGGGAGGTCCCACTGGATGTTATTGATTTCAGTTTTGCACAGCTGCTGTCCCGCGTCGGGGCCCTTGGGCTCTGGCCACTGGCGCGGGTCAGGCCATTGGTGCCGCCGTGTATCCTGGCCGCAAGTCTCCGACGCACCGGCCTCGTTGTCCTGGCCGGAAGGCTCGCGATCTGCTCGCGACAGTTCCGGCTGCACGCCTGGCGGGGTTCTTCGGGCAGAAGCAGGCCGCATGGTTGGCCGCCAGGCGGGGGTCGGATCGTATCTGGTAGCCAGGGCGGACGCTGCCCTGTGGCACGTGGGGAGAGGCCCCTTTCGCTGGCGCTCGCCTTCGGGCCTGTGCCCGCCGACGCTTCCAGGCGCCTCCCCTTTTGGTCAGCGCAGGACTCTCTCCGGTCTCTGGGGCGCCGCCGTCTGTGCCAGGCGCGCGCACGCACGGCGACGCAGCTTCCATTGCCGGGGCGCGAGGTTCTTTGCCAGTCGCGCCCTGGGCGTCTGGAGAGGGCGCTCGGGGTTCGCCGCCCATAAGAATGGGCTCACTGACAGGGGGAGGGGGGCGAATAGGCGCGAAAGGGTTTCTCCCGACGAGCCAGTGGATGGCTTCGCTGTCCTGCGTCTGGACGGTTGGTCCGTGGCCCCCCTGCTGGGTCTGCGGCGCTCCCAGAGGACTGCAGACGGTCTGATTGTTCTGAGGGGAGGTGGGGGTGGCACGGCGTGGCCGGCGAGCCCCTGCTGTCCCGGAATCTCGCTTGGCTGACTGATGCGGCTATCGTCAGCGCTATCGGGGGCCGCCCCCTGTCCACCCGGTTCTAATCCAGAGACACGAGTGAGGGCTTGCGCCGCTTCCGCACCTTCCGAGGCTTCCGCCGCTTCGGGCCCCCGATACTCCGCGGCTCCCGCAGCCTCCGCCGACCCCGCCGTGACCTCCCTCTCCTTCTCTCTGCCCTGCTGCTGCGACGGAGGGAGCACGGGTGCCTCTGCGTCTTCTCGTGGGTTCTTCTTGGGGTCGCTGGGTGGCTCTTGTTGCTGCTGCGAGGGGCGCTGCTGCTGCAGCGGCTGGGCTCTGTTGCAGCTGCTGCTGCAGCTGCTGCTGCAGCGCTCTGATCCAGAGACACAAGTGGGGGCTTGCGCCACTTCCGCTTCCGTCGCTCCGGGCTCCCGACACTCCGCGGCCTCCGCAGCCTCCGCCGACTCCGCCGAGACCCCCCTCTCCTTTTCTCTGTCCTGCTGCTGCTGCTGAGGGAGCACGGGTGCCTCAACGTCTTCGGCTTCCGTCGCTTCGGGCCCCCGATACTCCGCGGCCTCCGCAGCCTCCGCCGACTCCGCCGTGACCCCCCTCTCCTTTTCTCTGTCCTGCTGCTGCTGCAGAGGGAGCGCGGGTACCTCAGCGTCTTCTCGTGGGTTCTTCTTGTGGTCGCTGGGTGGCTCTTGTTGCTGCTGCGGGGGGTGCTGCAGCTGCAGCTGCGGGGCTCTGTTGCTGCTGCTGCTGCTGCTGCAGTTGCTGCTGCAGTGGCTGCTACGGCTGCTGCCTTGCTGCAGCTGCTGCTGCAGCTGCTGGGTTATGTTGCTGCTGCTGCTGCCGCTGCGGCTGTTGCTGCTGCTGCTGCTGCTGCTGCTGCCCTGCTGCTGCGGCTGCTGCTGCTGCTGTTGCTGCTGTGGTTGCTGCGGCTGCAGCAGCCGCCGCGGGGGCTCCGCGGCGGCGGCCGCCGCAGCTGCTGGGCCAGCGGCCGCGCCGCCGGCGGCCGCGGGGACGGCCGCGGCGGCGCAGGCCGCGGGCGCCGCCCCCGCGCCCCAGGGCCCAGGCGCGCCGGCGCCGCAGTCGCCGCGCGGCCGGCCGCGGCAGCCGGCGCCGCGGCCACGGCGCCGCAGCCGGCAGCCCCGGCGGCGAGGCCGGCGGCGCAGGCCAGGGCCGCCACAGCCTCCCAGAGGCCCGCGGCGGCCGCGGCCTCGCAGGCGGCGGCGGCGGCGCCGCAGGCGGCCGCCGCGGCCGCCCGAGGGGCAGCGGCGGCCGCAGCGGGGGGAGCCCCAGCAGCGGCGGCCGCGGCGCCGCCGGCCGCGGCGGCGGCCTCGGCGGCAGCGCCCGCGGCGCTGGCGGCGCCGCGCGGCGCCGGCGGCAACCGCGGCGCCGCCGGCAGCGGCGGCGCCAGCGGCGCTCGCGACGCCAGCGGCGCGCGGCTCCAGCGGCGCCCGCGGCGCCGGCGGCGCCCGCGGCGCCCGCGATCCCGCCGGCAGCGGCGGCGCCAGCGGCGCGCTCGGCGCCCGCGGCGCGGCGGCGCCGGCGACGCCGGCGGCGCCCGCGGCGCCGCGCCGCCGCGGACTCCATTACCCGGGCCCGGGCGGCCCGAGCGCCGAACCTGAGCAGGGGCGGGCTCGAGCCGAGACGGCTTGAGCCAGGGGGCTACGGACGCTGGTGGAGTTACATTTTTGATTGGCGGCTCACAAGTCGACGGCTCCAGGGAGCGGGATGGTCTCGACAGGGGCACAGGGCGAGAAAACGAGTTGTTGGGGCCCATAGGCCGCGGCAGCGGGTGCACGTGCCAGGGACAAAATGACCCTCATGAAGACGCAGGCATGAACGCCCTCATGAAGACGCAGGCACGACCCGAACGGGGAACGCAGGCATCAAACTAGAAAACGGACGGAAGGAGCAGTCGCACAAATGGCGCCAGCTCAGACTGAACCGAGCAGCGCGTACGGGCGTGGACCACGCCGCGCAGTGGCGGCATGGAGGGGCCGGGGTGGCCGCGCCGTCCAGCACGAAGAGGAGGCCAGGGAACAGGAGAGGCACGGCGAGCGCGCGGGGGCGAGGCGGCAGGAGAAGGGGGGAACAGGCGGAGGCCTCACTCACAAGGACTCATAGGATGCACTTGGTCACGAGCAGCCGTCCTATTCAAGGAACCAGCGGCCCTGTCTGAGTCCACGGCCTGCAACTTGCCTGACACCGAAAGTCGGGGGGATGCAGCTGCAAGCACTGGTCGAGTCCCCTAGAGCACCCTGCGGGAGGGCCGTGGTGAACTGCCAAAGGATAAACCACTTGTGCAGTAGCTAGAACTCGGAGGCGACGCCCGCTGGTGGAGTTACGCGAAGCGTGTAGAATTTGGTCGTTTTGTTCCTCCTGCTCCTCTCCTCTCATTTTCCTGGGGCGCAGATGGCACAGCAACAGTGTAGATCATGGGCGAAGAAACACAAACATCTGCAACTCCGTGGTTTCTGCCCGAAGCGAGTGCGCGATACTCTCCTCGCGTGATGCAGCGCTGGCCTTGCCAGAAGTCGTGTGAGCGGAGTTGACCAGAGGGTTCACAACCTTCCACATGAATGCTCCGGGTTCCAGTTCAGACGTGCGCGTGGTGATTGCACTCAAGGCTATGGACCCGTTGGGTGAAGGGACCGGCAGGAGCTGCAACTGATCCTGCGCACATCGTGCCAGACGAGATGGCCGTCTTGAATCCTGTGGAGGTGCTGACGGTGAGGCTGTCACATCTTCAACAGGTACATGGTGGACAGGGGTGAAGACGTAGAACTAAGGCACGTCCCTCCACAGGAAGAATATTCAAAAATAGTCCAAAAATAATAAGGGGGCGATGTTTTGACTATTGTTGCATATTTTTGAATACGTTTTGACTATAATTTCTTGTTCGACCACAATCCCCCTGTAGGGGGACACGCCCGACATAACGTAGAAGACATCACGCAAGCGGTGTTCTCAAAGAGAGAGAGAGAGATAAAAAAAAGCAGGTCGGGTACAGCCTGAACGCGAAGTGACCAGGGCTCCCCCCAAAGCTCGCGCATACTCAGTAAATGGTCTCGATGAAGATTAGGAGCAGGAGGAGAGGATGACGACGACGAACCTAAGCTTGGCATGCCACTGTCCGTCCTGTCGCCGGTACAACATGTTCTCTCTCCGGAGTAGCTTGTTCTCCTCGCTGAGGGCCTGCGAGCAGCGAGGCTTTGGCGGTCTGCACACGCAGCCTCAACAACACATGCGCGACAGGCCTGGCCAAACCTGGCCTGGGCTAAGCACCTACTGGCTCCTTGAGCACATGGTCCACGCCACTTGGCCGATTCCCAAAAACCTGAACCCAAAAAGGCCATCTCTTGGGGACGACGTTTTACTCCTGCATGCTTGCACCAGCCCTTCCGCCAACATCCGCCGGCGGAGGCGGCCTCGTTCTACTTCCGCCAGCTTCCGCAGCCCTTCCTCCGCCATCCGCAGAGGAAGAGGTGCCAACTCCTTCGACCCTCAAAGGCGAGGGCCCTGTCTGGAACGCCGCGCGTGGTCCATGCATTGTGCTGTTTGCCTGTTGCAGGGGCGTGGCAGGCGAACTTGACTTCCTTCGTGGCTCGCGGCCCGTGGTGTCCGTGTGGCATGTAGAGCAGGGACCGACCGTTCCGGCATTCCTATAGGTCTACCACGAAATACTCTTAGAACCCCAAAATGTTCCAAGAACCAAAAACAATGTTCTTAGTACATAAACCCGATGTGTTAAAACAAATCAGTCCCAGCCAGAAATGTTCTCAGAACATTAAGTGTGAACCACAGAAGGTTCTTAGAACATTGTTTGGTTGGACCATAGGCAAGCCGAGACGCTTCGCCACTGCGTGAGCATGGCTCTCAATGGTGGCTTCCATAGCCCGTGGGCCGGTGACTCCTCTTGACCCCAGCCTTCGGGCTGGCCCTGCGACGTGGACTCCATGGCTCGTGTGACAAGTTAGTTGCCCTCGCTCGCGGAAGGCTCTCGAGAGCGGACCCGGCGCAGCCACGACGTGGGCCGTTGAGATCGTCCCGCGGCTCGCTGCTGCGCATTTCGGGAGGCGGCTCTCGCCTTAGCGCCGCGCGCATGCGTCGTAGAAGCTTGAGGCTTCCTCAGGGATAGAGTCCAGCTGGGTTTCAAGATGCGGTGATCGCGTTCAGCAGCTGTATACGGGGGAGGAAAGCGGCCCCTTTTCAGAAATGGTGCTCTCGCTTTCGCGAGGGGCGCACACTCGTCCTACAAACTCGCAACAGCTGCAAGGATTGAGGACGGCTCTTTTTCAAACTGAGGATCGAGCTTCAAGACATCCTTACAAATAAAGGCTAAAACTTTGACAGATGTAAGAGCTGCACGGGTTGGGGGCGATTCTACTTCAAAACAACATTGAATGACCAGACGTGTCATTTGCGCAACAGTTACATGAGGTGGGGGGTCCTTTTCAAAGCGGGGCTCTCGCCTGACCGGTGGGCACGTAGGGCCGTCGTCTTTCAAGAGGGCGCTTCCTATATTGAACTGGACGGCTTCTAGGGACTTGCGAAGAGGACGCTTGGACGGGAGGGCGCATGGCAGATTAATTGATGCATCCTGGGTTTACTCTGGTCCACCTTCTCTTCCTCTTTCTTCCCCTCTTCTCGTTAACGTTGCTCCTGCTTCTTGCCCCTCCTCCCCCTCCTCACCGCCGTCCTCCGCATGCTCCTCCCGTGACTCTGCCCCGATCCTGCCCGTCCCTGCCCTCGTCCTTCTGCATGAGCACGAAGTCCCCGGGGACGAAGAACGGGTGTGAACCGTCTGCCCCCCGGCCCTCCACCCGAGCAGAGCTCAGGGCTACTGTGTGGGAGCTCAGAGCGGGAGCTCGATGACGAGAAGGAGTCGCCCTCAATCAGTTTGCTTCGGTCGGGAGGATTCCCAGGCTTCAGTGGTGGTATATCGCTGGGAACTCCTACGCGAAGGCCGCATCTTCAAACAGAACACACGCCCTCCATCCATACCGCAGGAACTGCAAGCTTCAAGGACATAGTCTGTGAGCAGGAAGGTAGTTGTGAAGACGGCGTGCCTGCCGAGCGTGCGAGCGCTCGAAGCTCAAGGCTCCAGGATCATAAAATGCGAGGACGACCACCCTGATGTCACAACTACTGGTGCGGCGATGAGTCAGTTGAGCGACGAAAAAAATCGTGTCGTGTGCAAGAAGTCATAGCGACCTTGCGCCGCGGCTGGCTTACGCGGGCTGCCAGCGTGGCAGACCGCGTGGAGAAGAGGACGCCTGCGCGCGTCCTTACCCCGGAAGCTTACGCGCAAATATCCGCGCAACCGACCCCGTCTTCTTCCGTCGCTAGTTTACGAGGAGCAGGCACGAACCCAGATCGCCGACGACATGCTCTTGCCCCCCCACCCCGACGCGGGCCCCGAAATCTCCCGTTTCCACCCCTTGCACCAGTCCTCCGTCGCGGGCCGCTATCACTCATGGCCCCGAGGGCCTCATGGAGGAGGGGGACAGGGAGGAGGAGGGGGACGGGCAGGAGCAGGAGGAGGAGGAGGAGGTGGAGGATCAGGAGGGGGAGGAGGGGCAGGAAGGAGGAGGACGAGGAGGAGGGGGAGGCATGGAACGACTGGGGGGTGGAGGGCGCGGCGACGCTCCAGGCTCCACGGGAGGGGCGCCTCCGCGACCGCCAGCACGGCAGGGTCCCCCGCATCCGCTTCCGCGGCTGCCAGCGCGGCCTGGGCCCACGCGCGCGGCGCGGCGCCGCTGGCAGACTGTGACTGGCACCCTTCCGCCCCCTCCTCAACCGCGTTGCCTGTGCAAGCTTTCCAACAGAATGCGCACGGCGCCGGAGCGAGAGCCGCATTTCGAAGACCACCCTCCCTCCAGCTTGAAAGCCCTGACACGCTGGCAGGACGAATGTGCACGGCGCTGAGGCGAGGGCCGAATCGTGAAAATTACTGGCCCTCTATCCCTGAAGCTGCTGGAGCTTCTTGTAGTTGCTCCAAAAGGCAACACGCTGGAGGGAGGTCTCGAGCGCAGCGCCCGGGCCGGCCTGCGGACGATTTCGGTGGTGCGACAGGGGAGTCCTTTGCAAGGAAGAGGGGTGGAGGGTGGAGGAAGCGCCGCTCCATCACCCCGCCTTGTCCGAACATGCCACACCGGCTGCTGTCTCTGCCCTGCCCTGCCCCACGGCTGTGCAGAGCACGCCGAGCATTGGCCCCGGCCAACAGAAGAGGTGCCAAGAGGAGGCGGGGAGCGGCCGAGGTGCGACCACGCTGAGCCCGAACGGGCAGAGGACGACCTGGGCGAGAAAAAACAGGAACGAACCCCCAGCCACGAGATGGAGGAGGAGGAGGAGGAGGAGGAGGAGGAGGACCAGTGCAAACCCAAGATGCATCGAAGATGTTGCAATAACCCCTCCCTCCAAGCTCTCTCTTGATTGGCCCATACAAGAGTGTATTTTCATTGTGGGAAGTGCCCCATTGAAAGACAACCGTCGGAGAGTCCTCTATCGTGCCAAAACACAATTCCTGGGACCTTAGTGCCGTGTATCAGCGTGACTGGTACGTCCTGACAAGCCTAAATGCTATTCCTATGGCTACGGCACAACGATCCAACGTCAACGTTGCGTCGTGACAGTCCTATACCGTGCTAGAAGACCATTTCTGGAAATTCAGCCATATGCATCGTCGAAACGGCTACACACGTTTGTAACGAACGTGCGCGGCGCTAAAGGGAGAGCCACATTTCGAAATGGAACATAATGGAACCGCCCTCAATCTGTGAAAGTGTTGCGAACTTTCAACACTAACGTGCGCGGCGCTCAGGCGAGAGCCACATTTTGAAAACCGCCAGCGCTCCTTCCTTGAAAGTGCTACAAACTGATAAACAATGATTATGTGCGCGGCGCCAATTTGAATACTGCCCGCCCTGTATCCTTGAAGCTGCTGCAGTACTCAAAACGAATATGCGCGGCGCTAACGCGAGAACCACATGCTCAAAACGACCCGCCCTCCATCCGTGAAGCTGCTGCTCGTACTAAGCTTCAGGACCATGGTGAGGTAGTTTCAAGCGAAACGCCCAGCCCGCCTCACCGACACGTCTGGGGGCACGACAGGGGGACTCACTTATAAGGAAAGGAGACGGAGGGGGAGACGAAGGAGAGAGGAGAGAGGTGGAGGAGGAGGAAGAGGAGGAGGAGGAAAAAGAGGAGGCGGATGATGATGATGATGATGATGATGATGATGATGAGGAGGAGGAGGAGGAGGACGACGACGACGACGAGGAGGAAGCGGAGGAGAAGGACGAGGAAGAGGAGGAGGACGAGGAGGAGGAGGAGGAAGAGCATGGAAAAGAGAGAGGGAGGGGAAGACGCATTGGGCGAATGCCGTCGGCCGAAGCTCGACTACACGCAAGAGTGACCTTCCGCCGGAGTGACCTTTGGTGCGGGCCCAATGGGGCCCCCCGATCGCCGAACGCGACGCGGTAAAGCGCCTTGCGCTCTTGTGTTTGGTTCCCGCGCGGCCCCCCAAAAGCCGCGCACCAAAGGTCACTCCGGCGGAAGGTCACTCTTGCGTGTAGTCGAGAAGCGAACGGCTGGGCAAAAGCACCGGTGGTGGGCGAATGCCGCAAGAATGATCGGCTTACCCGAAGCCGAACGTGAGGATAAGGACGAGCATCACGGGCCCCTCAGCCATGAGCTCGTTGGCGCAGCGTGCCCGCCGACATCACGGCGGCCAGCTCGCGGCGGAGCATCTCGTCGCTCTCGCCCTGCTTGCAAGCGCGGCCCATCTGACTACCTACCAGACAGACCACCCCAACCCAACCCGAAGACCCGAATTTGACCCGAATTTGGGGTTGGGGGGGGGTACGGATACCATGTGTTTTTTTCAACGTTCCCCGACCCCCCCCCCACTGGAAATAGAAGGCAAATTGAAGGCTTCGGGTTGGGTTGGGGTGGCTTGGTGGGTGGTGACCATCAGGCCCAGCGACACCCAACCCCACCATCAGGGTGACCCTCTCCAAGTTCGACAAGAATGGCAGGGCCTGTAAGATCCTCGCCTCTTCGGCCGCCAGCGCGGGCGCCGCAGGCGCCATCGGCGAGGCAGCGGCCGCCGAGGATCGCACGACGGGAGGAGGAGGAGGAGGAGGAGGAGGAGGAGGAGGAGGAGGAGGAGGAAGAAGAAAAACTATAATTGTGGAGGGCATGTGTGAAAAGTAGAAGACATGGCAGCAATGGTGAGCGCATAGCGGCGGCCCTTTGACCTCTCAATGTAGTGGTCCGCGTGCACGCTGCAAACCACAATGGCAGAGGGCGCGCACGCGTGCTCCTTTTCGAGCTGGGGCAACTAGGCAATGGAGAGTGTCCCGCCGCAACACTTTGGCCACAAAGGGCCACCCGCAATGAGGCACCATAACATTCACTGCACAGTCGTCGCAGTGGACGTCCGGCACAGCTCACACATGGCTCAGCAACCTCAGCCAGAACGGGATGTCGAGAACCGTGGGGTGCCCAATCGGCTCGTCTCAAGCCAGCCCGCACGTGAAAGCTGGCCATGACCAGGGCCGTGAATCGTGACGGCCCCACGTGGCAGGGAGAGCCTACAGACAGGCTCCTTACCCGATGCTGTATCGCCTGGCCGATGTTGCCTGACAGCCAGGAACAGGGTGCTGCTCCTGGGGGCCTGGCACAGATCGTGCCCGGCGTGCGCTCAAGCCGCAACACTGATCGTGCTTCCAGCCAGGTTCGCTTCCTGGCTCTGCGTTCGGCACACTGCTGGTGTGGCCGCTCGCTTTCGGCACTCTTTGGTGAGTAGGCGCCAGTGGGCGTAGGTGGCTTTTGCGGTGCTTGCGCGGCAGCGTGGCTGGAGAGCACCCGCGCACCTTGCCTTGTAGGCGCGCAAGCGCAGCGTATCCACCTGTTTGGGGCAGTGTGTCTCTCGATGCGAGCGCTTACCAATCACTGCGGTTGACTGGTCCGTGAGGAGGGGGACGAGGAGGAGGCGGACTGGAGTGGACGGGACGGGACGGGACTGGGCTGGAACTCTGGGAACCCAACTGATCTCTCAACCAGCCGCGCCTGACTTCGCAAGCACCGCTGCCGAGCTTTCGCAAAGATTCTGCGACGCACTGCGTGCCACTACCTGACACTCTGCCCAGCGCCGCGGCCCGAGCTCGCCGCCCCCCCCCGCGCCGCCTGCGTGTCGCCCTCCTGCAACCACTCTCCGCCGCCGCGGGCGTCGCTGCCAACGACGGCGCCCTCGCCTGCGCCGCCCGCCCCGCCCGAGGAAGCTCCTGCGCTCCCTGCGCCCTGCTCCATCTCCTCCTCCGTCTCCCCCCTCTCCCTGTTCCCCTCCTCATCCTCCTCTGCCCTCTGATCCCTTCTCTCTCCTCTCTCTTCTCTCTTGTCTCCTCTCTCATCATTCCTCTTTCCTCCTCTCCTTCTCCTCCTCCTCCTTATCATCATCGTCGTCATCATCGTCAACGCCATTATCATGATCATGGTCGTGATCATCATCATCATCATCATCATCATCATCATCATCATCATCATCATCATCATCATCATCATCAGCATCATCATCATCATCATCATCACCATCATCCCCATCATCATCACCATCACCACCATCACCACTATCACCATCATCATCAGCAGCATCATCATCCGAATCATCATCATCATCATCATCATCATCATCATCATCATCATCTGCATCATCATCATCCTCATCATCGGCACCATCATCATGATCATCATCATGATTTTCATCATCATCATCATCGTCATCATCATCATCGTCATCATCATCATCATCATCATCATCATCATCATCGTCGTCAACATCATCACCCTCCTCCTGCCCATTGTCCTTCTCCTCCTCTTCTTCCTCCTCCTGATCCAAAGTTATACACTTGAAACGGACCCTGTCCGGAAGATGTCCCTCCCTCCTCCGCCTATTACAATTATTATCATTGATAGTAATAATATTATTATTTCTTGCACACAGGATTGTACCGACTCGGTTTTCCATGTGGTCTGCAATCTCATGGCTTTCGGTGCTTCAAAATGGCTCTCCCGCTGCTGCGTGGACCTCATGTTCGGACTGGCGCTTTGCTCCCGTCGTTCAGGGTGGCGGCGTTCTCGGTCCAGCGTGGGCCATTTTTCTGGGCCCGAGTCCTTGTTTATTGTTGTCGCCCCCGCATTTCCCCCTCCTCCGCTTTCCCCTGGTCCTCCTGCTCCGCCCACACCTTTCCACTCCAATTCCTGTTGCTACTGTTAGTCCTCGTCCTCGTCTTCCCTCATCCTCCTCCGTTTCCTCATGCTCGTCGTCCTGTTCACCCGCCTCCTCCTCCTCCTCCTCCTCCTTCTTTTTCTTCTTGTTCATCCTACTCCTATGCGCACAGCTCCCATTCTCCGATTTCGCAGCACATGCTAGGGGTGTGCGGTGGAGCTCCAAGTCGGCAACGACGCGCCTTCGCGGAGAGAGGGCGCAATGGGAAGTGATGTGAGGGAGGAATCGGATGACAGCTATGGCGCGATCGTGCCTAGCTCGTCCGCATACTCGTTCCTCTCTCCTCTCTCCTCTTTCCTCTCTCCGTTCACCTCCCTCCGTATCCGTCCTCCCTCCTCCTCCTCCTCTTCCTCTTCCTCCTCCTCCTCCTCTTCTTCCCTTTCGTCCTCCTTCTCCTCCTTCTCCTCCCACCATTCTTCCCTTCTGATCATCATCTGTATTACCTTCCTCCCCCTCCTTCTCCACAATCTCCCCTCCCCTGGTTCCTCCTCCTCCTCCTTCTCCTCCGCGTCCTCCTCTTCCTCTTCATCATCGGCACCAGCGCCATCATCACCACAAACATCACAAGCTCATTCGCAATCACCACCACCACTATCAACATCAGTCTGGTCGTCATCGATAAAACCATATTCATCACCAATGCCGCCAGCATGCCTATGTCACCATCGTCACCACCAACATCACCAGTTTTATCCTCAACCTTGGTCTTGTCATCATTCGTCATCGCCCTCCTCATCATCCTCATAACATGTTCCTGCTTACTTCAAAGCCACGGTACGATGCGGTCATCCTCATATGTGCATCCCCAATTCCTGTCACGTTTCGCTGGGTAACTATGTCTGTGCGTACCAGGGTATGAGAGCAAGTCCGCGCAGGCGACAGGCGCGGCAACGACGACGACGACGGTGACGACTTCAGTGTTGTCCTCCTCCTCTGGGCATCTTTCAGACGAGGGAAACACGCTCGGAAAAGCGAGGGCCAACTCCTCGTGCAGCAACCCAGGCAAGGGCGCAGGGCGTTTCTACGCCCACTCTCTGGCGTGCTTGCTGCCAAGATTCACGCTGGCTGAATCATGGTAACCACCTGCGTGTGAGCCCTCATGTGGGTGAGTCTGAGCGTGAATGGTCTGGGTGTGAGCGAGTCGGGCTGTGAGCGAATCCGGGTATGATTGGGCTTGACCGTAAGTGAGTCTGCTAGGATTCAGTATGAATGAATATGAGGGCGGGTGTGAATGTGGGTGAGTCTGGGCGTGAGCAACTCTGATTGTGAATGATATGAATACGACTCTGACTGTGGGTGAGCCTGAATACGAGGTCGTGAGGTGAGTGCGACTCTGAAAGTGAGTGAATGTGGGTCTGACTTAGTCTGGGTGTGCGTGGGTCCGAGCTTGATTGAAACTGAATACGACCAAATATGAGTATGAAAGCAAACACACGCAACACGCTTGAGACAACCCGACGGTCTGGGCGCGAAACGGGCCCGTGCAAATTCCCAGGCTGCTCCCCCATTGAGTGGTGTCTGTCCGATTGCCACGCCTGCTATTTCGCGGTGGGCAGTGGACCAACAGCCGAACATCTGGGGGGACGCAACAAGTTTTTGCGTCGGCGGCTAGGAAGAGAAACTGCGTTGGCGGAAAAACGAACTGGGGACGCAATAACAAACACGCCGCTTGAGACACGCCCACAAGCTGGGTGCGAGCGGGCCCGTGCAATACCACCTGGCGGCTCCCCATGCGGGTGCCCAACTGCCAGGCCTGGACCACCAACTAAAGTCTGGGAGGCAGAAGCAGGCAAATCGCTTCCGACATCGCACAATCTGGGCGCGAATCCTGGAGTGTCCCCACCCCTGGCGGCTCCACCTTCGGATTGCTATAACCAGCGCCTCGCTTGAGACATCCGCACAATCTGCTGCGAAAACAAGTAATGCTGGGCATGCAAACAAGCGAACCTCGTGAGACCTCCCCGCAATCTGGGCCCGAATCCTGGAGTGTCCAGCCCAAAAAAATGATCATGAGTGCGAATGGTTCTGTATGCGTATGAAGAGTATGAGTCAGGAAGTGTTGGGATTGAGTTGGGTCCGAATGTAAGTGGATCTGAATGTGAGTGAGTCTGACTGCGAGCGAATATGAAGGTGAGTGAGTCATAGTTTGAGTGAGTCTGACTTTGATGAACGTCTGAGAGTGGTTGAGCCTGACTGTGTGCAAGAGGAAGAGAAATTATATGACTAGGAGGCGCATGAATAATAATTTCTCGACGCGAACCCCCCCCATATCTGCATAGCATATTCCTGTCACGTTTTGCTGAAGAGCTCTGCCTATGAGGATTTTGGCGTGAGAGCGGGCCAGCGTAGACGACAGGTGCGGCAATGACGACGGCGACAGTCCCCCTCCTCTGGACATCTTTCAGGAGAGACGAGGGAAACACAAGTGAAGAGGGAGGGGGAATTCCTCTTGCCGTTCTCCACGCGGCAACTCAGGCAAACGCGCATGGCGTTGCTACGCCCGCTCTCTGGCGTGCCCCTCGCGGCGCCTGCTGGCATTCGGGGTGCCCGGGTGCCACGCCGACTAAAACTCGGCAACCACCTGTGTGTGAACCTTCGTGAGAGTGAATCTGAACGCGGGTGATCTGAGTATGAGCGAATTGAGCGTTAGTGGGCCAGAGTACGATCGCGCCTGAATGTGTGTGCGTGTGAATCTGGACATAATCAAACTGAGTACGAATGGGTCTGTGTATACATATGTATGTATATATAGGTATATATATATTCATATGTTTATGCAAATATATGCATATGTATATGTATATATATGTGTATGTATATGTATATGTGTATGTGTATGTATGTGTATGTGTATATGTATGTGTATATGTACATGTGCATGTACATGTACATGTACATGTACATGTACATGTACATGTACATGTACATGTACAAGTACAAGTACAAGTACAAGTACAAGTACATGTGTATGTATATGTATATGTATATGTATATGTATATGTATATGTATATGTATTTGTATATGTATATGTATATGTATATGTAAATGTATATGTATATGTAAATGTATATGTATATGTATATGTATATGTATCTGTATATGTGCATGTATATGTATATGTATACGTATATGTATATGTATATGTACATGTACATGTATATGTATATGTATATGTATATGGATATGTGTATGTATGTATGTATGTATGTATGTATGTATGTATGTGTGGGTGTGTATGTATGTATATATATATATATATATATAATATATATATATATATATATATATATATATATATATATTCCTACTTACATACTTTTTCAATGCCGGGGACCCCGGACAGAGCCCGGACGGAGCCCCCCCCCCCAACGAGTTTCGGGCTTCCCCGAAATATTCGGGCGGTCCCAGAAACGCCCCAGAAAGCCCGAGATACTCCCAAAACGGGTCCACGAGCGCTCCAACACAGCCCAAGAGCGCTCCAAGAGACCCCAAGACCGCCCAAGACCGTCCAAGGGGGCCCCGAGACGCCCCAAGAGGCCTCCAAGAGGCTTCCCAAGAGAACCCCAAGAGGGAAATGTCATTGATTTTTGTATGGTTGTTTTAAACGTTTTCCTGGTTCTCCCTTTTTCGGGCCAACATCAGCCCGAACCGGCCCAAGAGGCTCCAACGATCGCCCCAAGATAGCCCAAGAGGCCCCCCAAAAAGCCCGAAAACGATCCAATATAGTCCCAAGACAATCCAAGAGGGCTCCAAGACGGGCCCAAGAGAGACCCGAGAGCGCCCAAAGAGGCACCCAAGAGGGCCCCAAGACGCCGCCAGGAGAGCCCCTATGACGGCCCAAAGCCTCCAAGACGCCCCAAGACGGCCTAACAGGGCCCCGAGACGACCCAAGAGAACCCCAACAGGGCCCCAAGAAGACCCCCAAGAGGCCCCAAAACGCTACATAACACCACACGTACTTATACAGACCATTTGCATATACAGGTACATACCCATACATACGTATATTAATATGTACATCTGTCGTATGTGTTCATAGGCGCATGTGTGTGCCCATGTACGCACGCACGCACTCCGCCAACGTGCGAAACTTTAAAGGACCGAGGTGCATGGCGCGCAGCGCCAATGCAGTCTTGTGTGTAAATATATGTTGATATATGCATATATATATAGAAAGAAAGAGAAAAAGAGAGAGAGAGAGAGTGAGAGAGGGGAAAAAAAACAACAAAAACAAAAAAAACAATCCTCGCTGGGTTGTTATGGTTTGTTTCTGAAGGCGGTCGGCGAGTTTGCCGACCAGTACAAGCTCGGACCTGACGAGGATACTGCGGTACAGACTCGGGAAATTCCCACCTGCCTCGAGGGGTGCCTGGTGCCCTTCTCGGCAGCGTTTCGGTTCTGGCGGCAGCCAGCCTCGCCAGATGACGAGATCGAAAGACGCCAGCCTCGCCCCATGCTGCCGCGAGCTTCGGGTGCCGCCGAGAGGTGACCCTCAGGCGAGCCTCGAACGCTAGCTCGGGGGCAGCAGATTGCGACAGGCGTCGCGCGTTGAGCGCACAAAGAAAAGCATCCATGCAGGCGGCGCGTTTCAAAATAGCGGACATGCTATCAAACGCGAGGAGGAGGCAGGAGGGAAACCAAGGCATGCTCAGATCACAGCGGCATACACATAATGCACGCCCCATCCATCTTTCCAACACTGCTTCGAGGCGAGGACAGTGTTAGTAATGGCGTAAAGAGTCAGAGTCGCCGCAACCTGACTCGCTGCAACCAAACAAGCACCCACGAGGTGAGGTATGGAAGCCGGCACTCGTGCAAATCGAGCCTGTCAACCTTCTCAGGGCTGCCACTCCAGGATACATCGACGACGCACGGCATACACGATAGCTGTTCTTACACATGATGCCGACTTGATCCATGCCGACCTCGGGACAGAAGTAATCAACTCTGCGGAGAAGTGTTTCACGAACGGGCTCCGAGTTCTCAATGGACCTGAAGTGGGTCACAGCTTAAGTTGAAGCTTAGAAGAATCAGACGAGAGACCCACAGACAGCCCAGAGCACCAATTACGAACGGAGCGAATATACCCCAGGAAGCTATGCTCATGCCAACCTCTATGCCAACGGTAGGGAACGTGTTCGTCATCGCGGGCCCCGTCGAAGTCCTCCAGCATACCGTGCAGGCCCCCAGACTTGATGTAATAGCGTATCGCAGCGGCTCGGGCGACAGCGTTAGGGTCGATAAGCTCGGTCGGGAAGCCTATCGCTTTCAACTTAGTGGCAATGTTAAACGAGATGGCGTTCCGCGGCCGCGAGGTGATCTTCATCGCACTCTCATGGAACAGGCGCGAGAAGCAGGCATCTGGCGGATAGAGCTGCAGTCGGAAGAGCAGCTTCGAGACACACATGACGCGGAATGCACAAGCGCTCTGAATCCCTAAGCCGAGTTGTCGCGTCTGGTGCACGCGGGAGATAAATCCGGGAATCACAGCCGGCCACGCTTCAGTGGCCGCGAGGGGCCCGATCGGAAACCCGAGATACACGGCCCAATAAACAACCTTCAACGCGGAAAATGGTGCACCATATGTCTCCAACACAGCAGTAAGATGGACGGCACCCGTAGCACAACGCAAGATGAGCTGGCACTCCCCAAATTGAAGTTGCAGATTCGCAATGGGCGCCAACTCCATCAACGCAGAGAGGGGCACACCCAGATCGGATAGCACGTTCAACACCCCAAAATAAAAGTCATCGGCGTAGGCGAGGTGAAGGCCAAGGGAGGCGGAGCACCTATGTCGGACCCAGTCCAAGAGAGGGGCGACAGCAAGCGCGAATAGGAACATGGAGGCGGGGCATCCTTGCTTAACACCTGGGCGGACGTCGATAGAGTGGAAGCGTTGACCCCCAACAGTGATAATCGCAGTATTCGGAGCATACATCATAGCATAAAACTGGATAAGGTGGGAGGAGATCCCCATCGCGCGCAAGACAATGAATAGCCAGCTCTGCGATAAGCTGGGAAAGGCTGAAGCAACACCGGTGAGAAGAATGGCCGAGTGTTTGTCATCATTCATGTACCTCATCACCCCCAAGCCTCTGCCTTGACTGCGTTCTCAATCGTGTCCCTCCCTGCTGCACATGTCTGCTCGGGCCCGACGAGGCGCGAGGTGTTGGCGACAACAGGCGAGATGCAGGCGGCGACTAACAGCTTGACATCTGTATTGCCCAAGCTGAGCGGACGCGTATTTGGTGCAGAACGGGAGACAGCCTGCCCAGTTGCATCGTTCGGGCCCGTGCCCTTCGGGAGAAAGATCATCAGACTGCGTGGCATGTCATCGGGAAGGGTGGATATGCGGTCGACGAAGAGGGCGAGATAGCAGGAATAGAGGAGGCGGGACGCGCACGGGTGTTTCCAATCATCATAGGGTAGCCCGTCAGGACCAGGAGTGCTGTGGGTACGACCAAAGACCATATCATACCGTTCAGGGTAGGGCAAGATCCAATCACGGTTAAGCGGGCCCTCGAGCTTCTTGATGTGGGGGTAATGTCATTCCACTTAGTCGTATCAACCTCAGTAGCAGAGAAGACCGTAGCCCAATGATCACCAAGAACGCGAGCCGCTTCGGCATTGGAGCCAGTAGGGGTACCCTCAGGAATAACCACAGAGCCCAAGACCGTGCGCCTCCGAATTCTTTGCCAGAGAAGTTTGCGACGACGAAGACGGGCCGCCTGAGAACGTTTCGTAGCGCCGTCGACGTGGGAACGCTGAACCTCCTGCTCCTCCTCATCTAAGATCTGCCGATACGAATGGAACACATGTTGAGAAAGCCCTCGAAGGTGAGAGCAATGGAAAAAAGCATCGGAGCGCACGCTGAGCCTCGGGTAGCACTGAATTGCAAGCTGGATGCGAACGGTCTCGCCCGTCTGCACAGCACGGAGTGCGTGTAGGGCCCAATAGTGCCGCTCTTGCTTCGACTTAGCCTCCCGGCTGCGAAAAGCACGTCTCGCGGCTTTCCCAGCCTGGAAACAGAAAGTTTTAGTAGCCGCAAGCCTCGCCCAGACATCCCACTCCCCAGGTATCTCCGAAAGAAGGTCTCCAAGAGCCTGTCCAAGCTCGGGAATCCTCGCAACCCAGGTCGGGATGCACGGGTTACCAGGGTCGGGACGATACGATTCGAAGACCGCTTTCACAGGAATATGATCGCTCGGCACCGAAGACTTCAGGAACCCAATCGTCGAGGTCGTAATAGTAAGGTCGCGGATAAAGGCGGGAGGAAGCGATGAGTAGATACGGTCGATCCTGGATGTTTTATCGACGGCCATCCCTTTCCTCCCCCGACGAGTGTCCAGGCCCTGGTAAATCTCAGTGAGGTGCGGGAGGTAGCGAGTAAAAGCACGTGTGTGAGAAGCGCCGCCGCCGGTAAACTCACTCCCATCTCCAGCAAACCTCCCCTCCTCCTCCTCCGGGACAAAATTCCAGACTCCCATAAAGAAAGCATGAGCCGCACATTCAAAGCCACCTTCGCAATGGCCAGCAAAATCCTGCTGCATAATCTTCAGAACCCCTGAGAAGAGAGCGAGCGGGTCGGAGGTGTTGGGCAAGTGGAGATTGCACACAATCAAGTTGCCAGAATTCCCCAAGAACATACTCTTCAAGACACGCCCAGAGACCAGAGTAGCATGTAGGATAGAAGAGAAGCGAGAGGCGAAATCGGCTGAGACCGCAGTAGCAATCCCTCCCACGCGCACGGAGTCCGCGAAAAAAGGTGAACCCGAACACGTGTCCAGGCAGCTGGTGCTGAAGTTCAACGATGTCCCCTTCGTGTCCGTGCGTTTCCTGTGCTGTAACTAGATCGTGTGTTCTGCAAAGTTTGAAATATGTAGCGTATCGTGCTGATGCCCTCCAAGAGTCCATGTTGACAGAGGCGAACAAGGCCTCGGCGTTCCAGGTGCAGACAGAGAAAGGGCGAGAGGGGAGGAAGAGGGAACAGGAGGAGGGGAGGGGCACCTGATCTGTATGCTCACAAAGACCCGCAGGAAGCGGGCATCTCACCTGAGTAGCGCTGGAGGCGCCTTGGAAACGATCTGGCAGATCGGGCTGCCAAGCAGGGGGCGACTCTTCACCCCCGCCCCTCGGAGGCCGAGGAGTGTGTTCTCAACTGGCGAATTAAGATCGCAAAGGCGGTTTGCAAGCTCGCGGCGAAGTTGCTGCCGCTCTGGCCGCCTGTCGACTTAACTAACTGCCCGCGTGTGCCTCCGCCCGCTTATCCTTCGCCACCTTCCAGGCCCCACGCCTGGGCATGGGAGAAACGCGAGGGCTTTTTCGCTTCACCTTTTTGGCGCTGCCAGCGCTGTTTGATCTCGCACAAAAGCCGCGTGATGCCTGGAGGCTCGTGTCCTAACGAGTCGAAGCTGGACGGGCCTAATCTCAGAGCGCTGGGGCATAATGCTATATCGCTCCTGGTTTCAGATGGCACCATCCTGACTGTTTGCCTGAGGTGCCATTCGTACGGCTCGCTGGGATACATTCGAGGCTTAGCTCAGCGATGCCAGCCACCGACGAGGAAGAAGACCGAAACTTTCAAAGCGATACGTAAGGGTCGGCACCCGTCGAATGCAGGGCTCACGGTGGAGCCTGTGCCGTGGCGATAACTTGTCACTCTTGCCTTGGAGTTGACGTCAAATCCTCCTCCTCCTCCTCCTCCTCCTCCTCCTCCTCCGCCTCCTCCTCCTCCTCCTCCTCCTCCCTCCGCGCAGCGCCTTCTCGGCTGCTCGTTCCCCCCCCCTCCGCCCGCCGAGGGGGCGCGGCGGCGGCCGCTGCCGCCGCTGCCGCCGCAGGTGCCGCACGCGGGCCTCCAGCGCGCTGACCTCGCACGGGTCGGCCGGCGGAGGCCGCTTGCAGCCAGGGGGGACCCCGCTGCTCGGCTCCGCCGGCTCTGGCCGGGGCGTGCGGCGTTGGGCGTCTGGGCAGGGCCTCTCCTCCGAGGGTGCTCTGCGCTTCCTCCCTCCTCTTGCCTCGTCGGCCTCCTTGCGTATTTCCCTTCCTCCTCCTCCCTCGTCCTCCTCCTCCTCCTCCTTCTCCTCCTCCTCCTCCTCCTTCTTCTTCTCCTCCTCCTCCTCCTCCTCCTCCTCCTCCTCCTCCTCCTTCTGCTCCTTTCATCCTTCCCATGCTGATTTTCCTCCTCCTCCTCCAGTGTGGCAAAACATAGTGACTAATGGGGTGAGCTAGATCAGTCGACCAAAGCCAAGGGGACCCCATTTTGTTAAATCGCCGTGAGGGGCTGGGGTGGGCTGGATTAGCCGGGCAAAGACAGGGGGACCCCATTTTATTAGGTCGCCGTGCTGGGCTGGGGGGTGCTAGGCTGGCCGGCTAAAGCGGGGAGGACCTCATTTTGTTAAATTGTCGTGCTGGGCTCGGGTGGGCGTTTGTCGACTTCTGCAATATCGATAGTGAGATCGATAGTGAAGTCGATTGAGTGAGATGGATAATGAGATTGATCGTGCGATCGATAGTGAGTTCGATCGTGATATCGATAAAGACATCGAGGAGATCGAGCGGGAACCTGGGAACCCGGGAACCCCGCAGCCCACCGAAATCAGCCCAGAACCAGCAACCAGGATACCAGGAATCGGAAACCCAGGATTCTGGCCACCTACTGAAATCGGCCCAGAACTTTCGCCAAATCTTCCAACATCCGCTAGGGCCTCTTCAGTGCAACCACTGATTGGGAAACTGCTTATTAGCTTGACTGTGTGCTCCCTGGTCGAATGTATATATGACAAATTGGAACATATGCATACACATATGTACCTGTGGATTCTCTACTTGTGCATATATGAATGTAGCTTGTATCCGGAAAATCGGCCCGTGGTGCCCCGTGGTTGGAGAGAAAAAAAAGATAATGGGAGCAAAGGTGATCGATAGTGAGATCGACGATAGTGTGATCGTTTGTGAGTTCGAATGTGAGATGGATATTGAGATCGATTGTGCGATCGATCGTGAGATCGATAATGAGGACGATAGTAAGGTCGACAGTGAGACCGATTGTGAAGCCGAGTGAGTTAAATCGATAGTGAGATTGATCGTGAGATCGATCGTCTATAGGGAGGTCGATTATGAGACCGATAGTGAGATCGAGGGTGCAATCGAGGGTGCAATCGTTAGCGATATCGATAGAGAGGTCGATCTTGAGATCGAGTGAGACCGATAGTGAGGTCGATTGAGTGAGATCCATAGTGAGATTGATAGTGATATCGATCGTAAGGTCGATTGGAAAATCGGTAATGAAATCGATAATGAGATCGATTCGGGAATTCCGCCACCCATCGAAATCGAACCGGAACCAGCAACCGGGAACCTGGGAACCCAGCCGGCCACCGAAATCGGCCCCGAACTTTCGCCAAATCTTCCAACATGCGCTAGGACCCCTTCAATGCAAGCATTAAGTGGGGAATCGTGTGCGGGCGCTTCGCGACTTCGTTGCACTGGCGTTTGACAGGGATGGCGGGGGCATGAATGTATTTCTCCTCTGTGCGCTGTCCCAGTATCCAAGTCAAAAAGACTTGCAAATACACTGCGAGTGCACAACCTGTGTGCCATGCTGACCACCCCACCGCCACTTTGCTATGGCTTTTGACAGGGATGGCGGGGTGGTCGACGTGTTGGCCGATGTGTGCTGCCACGTGTGCTGGCACATCTGTCGTCACCTGGCGCATTCTGTGCACCTGGCGCACCAGGCGCGCCTGGCACGCGTGGGCCTCTGGCTCACCTGGCGCACTTGGCACGCGTGGCGCGCCTCGCGAGCATCGCGCACCTGCCGTTTGCATTGGTTCGCGATGCTTGCCCGTCCAGTGGCGACTTCTAGTAATGCAGAGGCCCTGGTGCAATTTGGATTGAACCACATAGCTTGCACCAGGTAGATCGCACCACGAAGCTTGCAACGCATATCGTACACGACATTCACTGCACCACATTGATTGCGCCACATTGATTGAACCACATACCTTGCATACATTTCATACACATATTTCCCCAAAAGTGCTTGCACTTAGGGGTTCTGCCTTCTCTTCTCAGGAACTGGGCCTGAGTGTCGGTCTGGCGGCTCCGTGCTCGCCGTCGCCGCCCCATCGCCGCCTCATCGCCGCTCGTCGTCTGGGCCTGATTGTCGGTCTGGCGGCTCCGTGCTCGCGGTCGCCGCCCCGTCGCCGCCCGTCGTCTGAGCCTGATTGCCGGTCTGGCGGCTATGATCTCGCCGTCGCCGCCCCGTCGCAGCCTCGTCGCAGCATTGCATTATGTTGCATTGCTGCGTAAACATCAATTGCACCACATCGATCGCACCGCATAGATTGCACCGTATATGTTGCACCACATAGACTGCGCCACACAGGTTGCACCACATAGATTGCATCACATAAGTAAGTTGCATTACGTAGGCTGCATGGTCTAGACCGCAACACTTAAATAGCATAACATATATCGCACCACAAGATTGCACCACATAGATCGACAACATATATTGCACTACATAGATCACACCGCCTAGATTGCACCAGGTAGGTTGCACCACATAGGTTGCACGACACAGACTGCACCGCATATATTGCACCACATAGATCGCACAACATGTATGGTTCAACAAATGTTGCAAACATCGATTGCACCACATATATTGTACACCATAGACCGCACCGCATATGTTGCACCACATCGATTGCACCTCCACCCCGTAGACTGCACAACATAATTTGCAAAACGCACTCTGCTTGGGGCCCACGCTGGCAAACATATTACAACACGTAATAAGCTGGCACAACATTAAGTTGCACCACGCATAGAGCAACTGAGGGAGCAAATTCCCTTTTCTAGTAAAGAATACTTCCCCTAGACACCGTGTTGTCACACTGTGGTTTCACATTCGTTGTATGCGCGATCGATCAGCGCACGCAATCAACCGACATCGACGCCCCCCCGTCGTCCCTTTCAAACAACACCGTGCCTCACGCTCTGATCCGCGGGGCGGGGTGCTGGGAAAGGCCCGAGACGCTAGCGCCTGGGTACTTGGGCGTAGGGGAGGCGCCGCGCCGAAGCGCGGTGGGCCAGAACCTGTGGCGCGACACACTGGGTAAACGGTCCTGACCGTGAGGCCACCCCGGCAAGACGGCTTCAACTTCCCGGCCGGCTGATCTAACGTAGCGAATTCTCGGGCGGGACACGCTCCTACGATCTTTTGACCCGGGTCAATACAGACCCGGGTCAGCCGGGCCTTGCAGGATGCTGCAAGATCCCGCAGGAACCTGCACACAAACCCGAGTCGATGCAACCCTGGCTCTGCAGGATCCTGCAAGATCCGGCGCTCTGACTGATCCCCGTTTGCATTGACCCCCGTCGCTTGAGCCCCGAACGCCTAGATCAATTACCACCCCTGGGCAACGCGCATGCGAGCAAGTCAAAGCATCCTGCGGGCACACGCGCGCAAGGCCAAAGAGCACGCGCGCAGAGCCGACGGCCCTAGAGCACGCGCCGCCTGCCGCTCCAGCACCGGCATCGCTTGGGCGGCCGTGTGCGTCACCTGCGCAGCGAGTAAGAGAGCATCGAACTGGGGGGGAGGAGCGCCCTTCTCCTCGTCTCCCTCCTCCTCCTCCTCCTCCCCCCTCTCCTCCTCCTCGTCCTCGTCCTCCTCCTCCTCCTCCTCCTCCTCCTCTTCCTCCTCCTCCTCCTCCTCCTCCTCCTCCCCCCCATCCTCCTCCTCCTCCTCCTCATCCTCCTCCTCCTCCTCACTCCTCCTCCTCCTCCTCCTCCTCCTCCTCCTCCCTCCTCCTCCTCCTCCTCTCCCCACTCCTCCTCCTCCTCCCCCCCTCTCCTCCTCCTCGTCGTCCTCCCTCTCTCCTCCTTCTTCCTCCCTCCCCCTCCTCCTCCTCCTCCTCCTCCTCCTCCTTCTCCTCCTCCTCTCCTCCTCTCCTCCTCTCTCCCCTCTCTCCTCTCCCTCCTCTCTCTCCTCTCTCTCCTCTCTCTCCTCTCTCTCCTCCTCCTCCTTATCCTCCTCCTCCTCCTCCTCCTCCTCTCTTCCTCCCTCCTTCTCCTCCTCTCCTCCTCCTCCTCCTCCTCACCTCCTCCTCCTCCTCCTCCTCCCCGTCTCCTCCTCCTACCCCTCCTTCTTTTCCTCCTCCTCCTCCTCCTCCTCCTCCCCCTCCTCCTCCTCCTCCTCCTTCCCTACTCCTCTCTCTTCTCCTCCTCAAGTCCTTCTCCTCATAGATAACTTATCCCTGTCACACCCCGAGGCCAGTTTCTAGGCGGGCCGGGCGTTTCGCCTGCAACTGCCTCACCATTTATGACCCTGAAGCTGAAACATTGGCAACAGCTTCACAGATGAAGGGCGTTTTCAAAATGTGGCTCTCGCCTTAGCGCCGCGCACATGTGTTGTCACAGTTTGCAAGAGTTTCACGGATTAAGGGCGGGTCGTTTTCAAAATGTGGCCCTCGCCTCAGCGCCGCGCACATTTTTTGTCAAAATTTGCAAGAGCTTCACGGATGGAGGGCGGGCAGTTTTCAAAATGTAGCTCTCGCCTTAGCGCCGCGCACATTCGTTCTCAACATTTGCAAGAGCTTCGCGGATGGAGGGCGTGCCGTTTTCAAAATGTGGATCTCGCCTTAACGCCGCACACATGTGTTTTCAAACTTTGAAAATCACGGGGGAATCATTCATGTCACACCCAAGAACCGTCATTACCGACGGCGTGGACTCACCAGCAAAACATACAAAGGGGGGTCGCAAAACTGACGCAAAAAACTGCTCACCACTAAGAAAGGGTCACGAACAAATGACGACCGCAACCTGGGGAACACCAAAGAAGACCTGAAAAGGAGGAGGGACTGGGAATTCTGACGACGGCGCGGCCGCCCGACCCGTTAGTCTCCTCTGCCGAAAGTGAACCGACGACGGCGCGGACAGAAAACCCCTAAGTTGCTCCCTATTGGAGTCGCGCTAGTGATATTTGCAAGAGCTTCACGGATTGAGGGCGGGTCGTTTTCAAAATGTTCCTCTCGCCTCAGCGCCGCGCACATGTGTTGTCAAAGATTGCAAGAGTTTCACGGATTAAGGGCGGGTCGTTTTCAAAATGTGGCCCTCGCCTCAGCGCCGCGCACATTTTTTGTCGAACTTTGCAAGAGCTTCACGGATGGAAGGCGGATCGTTTTCAAAATGTGGCTCTCGCCTTAGCGCCGCGCACATTCGTTCTCAACATTTGTAAGAACTTCGCGGATTGAGGGCGGGCAATTTCCAAAATGTGATTCTCGCCTTAGCGCCGCGCACATTCGTTTGCACAGATTTCACGGATTCCCGTGATCGACGTATCATAAACTGTGTTTTGGAAGGTTTCACGATTTTGAAGGCGCAACAGTTACGATGATTCGCGGTGTTGAGGTCCCTGGAATGGCGTTATGGCACGATTCAGGATCGTCAAGACGCAACAGTCAGGTTCATCCGTGGCGCTGGAATGCAAATAATTCTGTTTGGGCATGCTTCAGGGTCTTCAAACGGTTGTCTTTTAATGAGGCAGGTCCCTCTGTGGAAATGAACCGTTGTAGGGGCCTGTGAAGAGGGAGCTTGGGGGGAGGGTTTATTCCAACATCGTTGGTGACTCTTGGGCTTACACTGGCCCTCCCCCTCCTCCTCCTCCTCCTCCTCCTCCTCCTCCTCCTCCTCCTCCTCCTCCTCCTCCTCCTCCCCCTCCAAAACGTCGCCTGGTCGCCGCCTCGAGCCTGGCGGCCAGCGCTCTCCGCAGGGCCGGCGGCCAATGCCAGCCGCAACGCGCAGCAGAGGACCTGCGCATGGGGGGGAGGGGGGTGGAATAGACTCCCGGCCGCCTCGTCCCCCTGTCGTCCTTGTTGCTCCCCCTGTTCGTCCTCGTCCTCCTGTTTCTCCTTTCCTCTTCTTGCTCCTTCTCGTCCTCCTGTTCCTCCCTGTCCTCCTCGTCCTCGTCCTCGTCCTCGTCCTCCTCCTCCCCCTCCCCCTCCCCCTCCCCCTCCTCCTCCGCCTCCTCCTCCTCCGCCTCCGCCTCCTCCTCCTCCTCCTCCTCCTCCTCCTCCTCCTCCTCCTCCTCCTCTCCCTCCTGCCTCCGTTACTCCCTCCTCCTCCGCCCCCTCCCTTCTGCATTCCCACCCCGCTCTCGGTCCCGCCTCCCCTCTCCCCCCGCCCCTTCCCCTCGGGCGCGGGGCCTGACGCCCTGAGCACCAGCAAAATCTGGGGGGGAGTGAAAGGGCCAGCCGCCTGGACGGTCGGGAGTGGGGCTTTCGGGGGGGCGGGGAGGGCGGGGCCCGTGCAGCCATCGCGCCACCGCAGGGAGCGCCCTTGCAAGGGACGGAAGGGCTCCCCAGTGGCCACAGCGCGCCCTTCGGCCGCGAACGGGCTCTTCTCGACCCAGCCTTGGAGGCAGGGCCCGAACACCAGAGCCACTCCTGGGCCCAAGGTTGCTCTCCTCCTCCTCGTCCTCCTCCTCTTCGTCCTCGTCCTCGTCCTCGTCCTCGTCCTCGTCCTCCTCCGCCTCCCCTCCCCCTCCCCCTCCCCCTCCCCCCCCCCCCACTCCCCCCTCCCCTACCTCCTCCTCCTCCCTCCTCTTCTCTCTCCTCCTCCTCCTCCTCCTCCTCCTCCTCCTCCTCTTCCTCCTCCTCCTCCTCATCCTCCTCCTCCTCCTCGTTCTCCTCTGGCTGTGATCGCTCCGACACCGTCGGCGCAGGGCGCCGTGGGGCACACGGGGAGAGGATGGCGGAGGTTGACTTGGCGGCGGCTGGCGGTGCAGGCTGCATCCTGCTTCCACTTTCACTCGGGCGGAAGCTCGCCTGCCGATGCTCTCTGTTCACTGATTCCACCTGCCGACCATCCCGTGTGTCGCACCAACGCCCCCTGAGGAGGTGGGCCCGCCTTCCCTTGCCCACTGTCTGCGAGCAGCTCCCACGCGCACCGGTCCCGAGCGTGCTTTGCGCGAGCTGCTGCGAGCTCGGACACTGCGCGGCAACACCCCCACCTTCAACGGATAAATAGCCATCAGCGCAGCCTCTCAGCGGTCCAGGGTGAGAAGCTGGAGCTCTTCATGTCGAGCGAGCTCCCTAGCTTGGTGCAGAACTGCCACGACTGCACTGCCACAGAAGTCCGTCGGTGTCCACAACGTGTCCCAGGTCGCACGCTTGGCCTCCATGAGCGAGGCCCCGTCGAAAGTGGTGCCCTCGGCGTAGCGAATCTCACTGACCTGTGCCATAGGGTCCTTCACATGACGGCGCAGAACCCCCATGCCGTTGACCGCGTGCTGGCAGACCCAATCCTGAAAACCATGCAGCCTTTGCCTGGCAACAGCTCGTTGGGCCTGCTTGGCCGCCTTGCTGGCCGCCAGCGCGATCTTATTCAGAGACTCTTTGGTGATGCCCTCCAGCGAGCGAAAGGCTCTGGTCCACCGAGCCTGCCGTCTCTCTGGCAGAGGCACAATCTGACAGACTGGGATGGTAGCTGCTGAAGCCGACAGCCGACCTCGCAAGTGTTGAGCACGTGGCGAGCCCTCCTGGCTCGACTCGATCTTAGCGAATGGACCTCACTCCCAGACTCCCAGGGACCCTGAGACCTGGGCGTTGCAACGTTTCCGCACTGGGCGTCATAGCCCCGTTTCGGGACCCGGGACCATCACGGCTCGACCGTCTCGAGAAATGGCCTGCGGCTCTGGTCGTCATGCTTCGCGACGTTGTAACTTGTTCGCAGCGCTGGACTACAGGGGAGCCCTGACTCCGGATCCTCCCAACTCTGGGCGAGTCGCAAATGGGGCGGATATTCCCGTCCTACTTTCCGAGCTCCTTTGATGTCGAGTTTTCACCTGGTATTTGCGGAGTTAGCCACCCTGCTGTTCAGGGGCGGAAATTTCCGCCCTACTTTTTTCAATCGTTTGGGGTGCATATCCGACGCAATTTCAAATCGGAGAATCCTCCGACCCCTTGAGTTTCATCGGCGCGTGAGATGCTTCCCCCTCCCCAAACCCCTCCCCCGGGAGCCCGGTCCGGTCGATTTGGAGGGGGGGGGTCCGGCCGGATCCGCCAGGGGGGTCATCCGCTCCAAGAAATCCTGCAGGGACTCCTCCGTGGCTTCGGAATGGTCCCAGGACGCCACTCGACGGCCCAAAATGACCTCCGCGTGGATTTGGGTGCCCCCAAGATGCCCCGAGATGGGCTCAAGACAGCCCACGATGCCTCCAAGATGCTCCAAGAGGCCTCGAAGAGGCACCCCAAGGAGGCCTTGAAGAAGCCCAAATCAGCAAGTACCCATGGGAAAACGTACATTTTAGCATGCGCGACTTTTCGGCCTTCGCGGCGGTGAAGCCAGTCCAAGAGGCCCCCAAGACCACCCCAACACGTCCGAAGAGGCTCCCAAGAAGCGCCCAAGACGGCCCAGGCGGGCGCCGAGACAACCCAAGAGGCCCCCACAACGGCCGGAAAGGGCCCCAAGACGGCTCCCAGAGAGGCCCGAGCGGGGTAGCCCGCACCGAAAATCCGAGCCTTCCGCTCCCTGACGGCTCCAAGACACTCCCAGAGGCGCCCGAAAGGGTCTCCAGAGGCTCCCAAGACGCCCCCAAAAAGCCCCCAACAGGCCCACAAGAGGCCCCAAAAGTCCCCCAAACGGCCCTCAGGAGGCTTCGAGACTACCGTCACAAGGCCCGCGGGAAGTTTCCCCAAGGTGATCCAAGCGAACGCCGCACAAGCCTCATGCCCACAACCAGGGCCCAGCGGTCAGACTCCTCGCAACTTCCGTTCCTTGCCGCCGTACTCGTCGCTTGTCTCCGCAAGGCGTTTCGGCGGTTCTCTCCGCAGCGCCCGTCCCGCCTTATAGCACTTCGCGCAAACCACCGGATTGCCCCGCTTGAAAAAATATTATTCTGGTCCTTCGACAGATGGCCCCCGTCTGTGAACGCGGGCGTCGACCCGTCCTTTTTCGGAGACACGCAGAGCATTCAAACTTATTCGCCACCCTGAGCGCATCGTGGCACGCCCGGCACGCTACTGGCCTATGGTGGATGCCCGTCTGGTGGTACTTCTTGATCTGGTCTGGCGTCAGATGCCCCGCGTCCTCGAACTCTGGGCTACTCCCGTCCGCTCACGGGCGTTAGGAACCCACGTGTTTTCACTGCTGTCCCGCGCTGGTGCGTTAGGAACCCAAGCGTTTCCACGCATGTCCCGCTCTTGGACGTTAGGAACCCATGTGTTTTCACGCCTTTCCCGCTCTGGGGCGTTAGGAACCCACGTGTCTTCGGGACAACCCACAATGCCTCCCAGACGCCCCCCCCCGAGCCCCAAGATTTCCCCCAAGAACCCAACGAAGCAAAAAAATCCGAATCCCTTTGGGCCGACGTGGAGGCCCCAAGAAGGCCTCCAGAAAACACCAAGAGCCAACCAAAAGGACCCGAAAAGGCGCCCTAGGAGGCCTCACAAGCAAAACGCGGCAACCGCGAGTTCCCCAAGGGGTAGGCGGTGTGGCGTAAGCCTGAGAATCCACGTCCGGCGGTGACGTGCTGAGCGGCAGCGTTTTTCGGCGAACGCCTTAATGCAACGTATCCCATGTATCCAAAGATTCCATACTTGCAACATGTTGTATTGTAATACATTATCATGTCTCCCCCCCTAACCCCCCTCTGGGAGCCGCGCCACAGCGCCGTACCAAACTGATCGCCCCCTTCTGAGGCCCTAGAAACTTACAAACCTATGAAAAATCAACAAAGTCGGCCTCTTGGGCCTCCTGGGCTCCAAGAGGGCCTCAAGATGGCCCAAGATGGCCCCAAGACGGCCCAATATATTCCCAACGGAGGCCCATGAGGCCCCCAAGACGGCCCCAAGAGGGCCCCCAACGCCCCAAGGACGGCCCAAGAGGGCCCCAAGAGCGCCCACAACTGCGCCTCCAGAGGCCGAAATCATTGATTTCCTATGGTTTCTGCAGTACCTTGGCGTTCTCGCTTTTTTCGATTCTCAAAAATCCATGACGGCCCAAGCAGCTTCCATAATCGCCCCAGAACAACCCAAAAAGCCCCCAAGAGGGCCCCAAGACGGCCCAAGAGGGCACCAAAACGACCCAAAGAGGCCCCCAAGACGGTCCAAGAGGCCGCGAAGACGGCCCAAGAGGACCCCAAAAGGGCTCCAATGCGGACGCGAGAAGCCCCCAAGACAGCCTCCGAGGGGGCGAAACGGTGCAAAAGCGCCCCAAGACAGCCCAAGACGCCCCCAAGAGGCCCCAAGAGGCCCCCAAGAAGTCCCCGAGAAGCCTCCAAAAGGCCCCCCCAAAAAAAAACCAAAGGCCACTCAGCGACTGGAGTGTAATGTTATTTTCCCCCCTCTGGGCGAACTGCGGCGCAGCGCCAGCCAGGTGGAAGGTCACTGCGGTGCCCATGATTAGAGCTGGCGCTGGAAGGGAAGATGGGGAGGGTGTATGAAAAGGAGGGAGGGGGGAAAGGCCCCAAAGAAGTCCCCAAGAGGCCCAAAGAAACTCCCAGGAGGCCTCCAGGAGGCCCCCAAGAGGCTCCCAAGAGGCCCCGCGACGACGTGACTGTACGTGCTCCGGACGTGCACCCCGCGAAGCGAAAGGAATCAACCAAAGTAGGGCGGATTCCGGAGCCAGGGCGGCTCGAAAAATTGGGCCTGGGGCTCCAGTCGTGTTTTTTTGCAGTGCTGTATCTTTTCGCATCACTGGGTCTCCGGGGAAAAGGAAAGGAAGAAGGAAACAGGAGCCTGTTTTTTTGAATCAGGCAAGTTTACTTGCATGGCAATTTGTCTCCCCCCCCACTTCTGATTCACACATTACTGGGCCGAAAAAAATTGCAAGTGCCTTTTGACTTGCGTGATTTCCGCGGCCCCCCCCCCGCGCGCAAGTGCAAGGCGCCCTGTCAAGTGCAGCTGTCTGCCTAATGGATCGCAATCGTAGCCCCAACGGCATGGACTTGGCAGAACTTGTGGCTTCATGGTCCCAAATTTGCACTCTGAATGGTTCCGGTGCTCAGGCGTTCTTGCTGATTTGTATTACTTTGTGTTGCTCGCTCTCCCCCCGAATCCTCCACCCTGACGTATTTCCATCGTTTCTGGCGGTGCTCACATAGAAAACGTTCATGTGCAAATGTATGTTCACATATGTGTGAGTACGGGGTACATTCATGTGTACTGCTCTACATCTCTAGTTTTACACATGGTAT